GCACACAATGTGTCAAAATAGTGAGAATTGGTCAAAAACTGGAATTTTAGAAGCCACTCAAAGTTGAAACTCTAGTTTCAGAGATAATTGAAGTTGAAGTTATCAACAATAAATAAAGGTAGTTTTGATTTGTTAATTTAATTGTGTTTTAAAAAGCATTGTTTGGCATTCGTACTCGAATATGTGAAAGTTGTAGGTCAACATGTGTTGAAATGAAGTCAAGAAAAAATAATCCCCAAAAAACACAAAATATAGAGATAATTATAATGATTTAGGGTATACTTTATATAAGTGAAAAAGGCCTAATATGGTCCCTAATCATCCAAACAACCTAGAGAGACAAAGAAAATAGTTTGAAATCAGAGAAAAAAATCAGCCAAAAAAAATTTAGTCCCAAGTTTTGGGAGTTGTGACAGATTTATTTGTTGACCAATTTCATTCTATCTTCACATAGTTAGGGAGCATATGCACTCTCCAGGATGTAAAGGTTACAACAAAATCAGATAATAAACAACGGAGAAAAACAAAAAAATTTGGGACATTGATGAAAGTTATACATTAACATTGGACAATGTATTTCATTCTATCTTCACATAGTTATGATATGTTTGGTTATATATATGATATATAACCAAACAGATCATATTAACATAGTTATTCATTATTATTTGTGTTATTATGTATTACTCAGCAATGATATAAAGGCACCAACTGCATATCCACTTTGTGGACACTTCTTACTACTATTCTTCTTCTTTGTGCGTCGGACAGGTGCTTGCATTTCTTTATTACTGCATAATCCTTCAGTTCCAGTTATTAGGAGCTGTTCTCCTTACCAACAAAACGTTTTTATTTTTTAAAAATTCACCTAAAATCAACTTCTGAAAAAATGTTTATGAAAGTTTCACGACACTGAAGCCAATAAGTTGGAGATTTGTTTAACATTTTTAAGTTATTTTTACATAATTTGAATATTTTTTGCCATCAGGCCCCCAATATGTGCGGTAACAGGCGTGGTCTGAGGGTTAAGAATGCCTTCAACATGGTCAGAAGAGATGCAGTGCTTTGTGCCGTACATCGCCATTTCTGGCCCCTCTACCAGTTCATACTATCGTGGTACAGTGGCGAGTCAAAACTGCTCTTCGGCAAACACGAAATCAGATCATGTGAAGGTGTTCAGCAAGGTGATCTCCCTTGCTCCTCTTCTTTCTGCTTAGTCTTAAAAATCACAGAAAGCTTGTCCAGCGAGTTCAACATCTGGTTTTTGGAGGATGGCACTATAGCTGGCACCCAAGACCACCTCTTGAAAGACATCAGAAAAATAAGGGAGAAAGAAGTAAGCCTGGGTCTCTTCCTGAACCCTTCCAAGCAAAGTAGTCTCCTCCAACCCAAACATCATAACTAGAATAAGGTCTGCCTTGCCCGGAGCTCGTCATTAGGGCTGAGGACAGCACTCTCCTTGGAGCCCCCCTCGGGTCTATCACCATTGAGGAGATCCTTGATAAGAAAATCACAGACCTCAGGAGCATGGAAGACAGGATAGATGACATCAACGCCCACAATGCTTTATATCTCCTCACTAAATGCCTATTCCCTTCCGAGGCTAACCTACTTTCTGAGGTGCACCCAATCCTACGACAGCCTGAAGCTTGAAGAGTATAACCTATTATTGAAGGCCATGCTAGAAAAAGTTGTTAATACAATACAAATACAAATATTTATTCAGGTAAAGTACATACATAAAAAGTGAGATGCAAAAGTTGATGGATTTATAGATAGAGCTAGTACATACAATGCCTAAAGCCACTATTACGCACAGCGTTTCGGGCTAACCTCTCCCTCAATGGATATGGGCACCATACAAATGCTTCATATTCTAGCTTTGGCCTAACAAAAGTTGTGAACAATTTCTTTAGTAATTCGTCATCCATGCATTTAAAGCAATTTTAAGTTAGAAAGCGTAGCATAGGCTCCTTGCACAATATTCTTTATGTGATCCTCAGGTGATAGTTTTCTATCTAGAACCACCCCTAGATCTCTTTCTTTATCAGAATTCTTTAAAGATTTCTCACATAATTTACAGGTTGTGTGGGGGTCTATGTTCACCTATTCCACATTCCATAACATGGCATTTATTCACATTAAATTCCATTTGCCATGTGGTGCTCCATATACTAATTTTGTCCAGGTATTCTTCAAGGGTATGGCAAACATCTAATTTTCTTACCCTTCCTATTATGACAACACAACTGTGACCCATATGGCCCTCGAGGGACCCTCAGTTTGACATGCCTGATGTAGAGGAACAATATACAGGTGACCGGCACGGCCAGAGTAGAAGAGCAACACAGGTGGCCGACACGGCCAGAGTAGAAGAGCAACACAGGTGACCGGCACGGCCAGAGTAGAAGAGCAACACAGGTGGCCGACATGGCCAGAGTAGAAGAGCAACACAGGTGACCGGCACGGCCAGAGTAGAAGAGCAACACAGGTGGCCGACACGGCCAGAGTAGAAGAGCAACACAGGTGACCGGCACGGCCAGAGTAGAAGAGCAACACAGGTGACCGACACGGCCAGAGTAGAAGAGCAACACAGGTGACCGACACGGCCAGAGTAGAAGAGCAACACAGGTGACCGACACGGCCAGAGTAGAAGAGCAATACAGGTGACCGACACGGCCAGAGTAGAAGAGCAACACTGGGGGGCCGTCACGGCCAGAGTAGAAGAGCAACACAGGTGACCGGCACGGCCAGAGTAGAAGAGCAACACAGGTGACCGACACGGCCAGAGTAGAAGAGCAACACAGGTGACCGACACGGCCAGAGTAGAAGAGCAACACAGGTGACCGACACGGCCAGAGTAGAAGAGCAACACAGGTGACCGGCACGGCCAGAGTAGAAGAGCAACACAGGTGGCGGACATGGCCAGAGTAGAAGAGCAACACTGGGGGGCCGTCACGGCCAGAGTAGGAGAGCAGACACAGCCAGCGTAGGAGAGCAGACGCAGCCAGCATAGAAGAGCAGACACAGCCAGCGTTGAAGAGCATACACACCCAGCATAGGAGAGCAGACACAGCCAGCTTTGAAGAGCATACACACCCAGCATAGGAGAGCAGACACGGCCAGCTTTGAAGAGCAGACGCAGCTAGCATCGGAGAGCAGACATAGCCAGCGTTGAAGAGCATACACACCCAGCGTTGAAGAGCAGACGCAGCCAGCATAGGAGAGCAGACACACCCAGCATAGGAGAGCAGACACAGCCAGCTTTGAAGAGCAGACACAGCCAGCTTTGAAGAGCAGACGCAGCCAGCGTAGGAGAGCAGACATAGCCAGCGTTGAAGAGCATACACACCCAGCATAGGAGAGCAGACACAGCCAGCTTTGAAGAGCAGACGCAGCCAGCATAGGAGAGCAGACATAGCCAGCGTTGAAGAGCAAACACAGCCAGCGTTGAAGAGCAGACGCAGCCAGCATAGGAGAGCATACACACCCAGCATAGGAGAGCAGACATAGCCAGCGTTGAAGAGCATACACACCCAGCATAAGAGAGCAGACACAGCCAGCTTTGAAGAGCTGACGCAGCCAGCATAGGAGAGCAGACATAGCCAGCGTTGAAGAGCAGACACAGCCAGCGTTAAAGAGCAGACACAGCCAGCGTTGAAGAGCAGACACAGCCAGCTTTGAAGAGCTGACGCAGCCAGCATAGGAGAGCAGACATAGCCAGCGTTGAAGAGCAGACGCAGCCAGCATAGGAGAGCAGACACAGCCAGCGTAAGAGAGCAGACAGTGGTGGCCTTCTTAGCCCTGACAGGTACAAAAGTCAGCTGTTGATGCTGGGCTACGCGCCACAACACCCGCTCTGGTTGACATACTCGCTACAAACTCACACATACACACACGCGCGTGTCCGAGATAAGCGAGAAGGTGTGTGGGATTGGGGTTATACCTAGTGAAGGTGGGAGTGGTGCGTGCAGAGGCGTGTCAAGGTGTCATCATTGTAGGCTTAACGTCCACACGAGGAGCCACAGCTTTTCCATGTTGTCACTTGGGTTCCAACAATGTACTCTACTATTTGCATTATGAAATTTTACCCTTAGCAGTACTGTAAGTGCTACCCTTGACATGTTCAAATTATAATATGTTTTTGTAATGTCAAAAGATCACTTTTATATATCTAGATCACTTTTATATATATCTCTTTAATTATATATTTATTTAGTATACGGATAATTATCAGAACGAGATAAAATATATGTAAAATTTGTAATAAATTTGTTTACTTTGTAATGTAATTGTGCATAGGTATGAAAATATTACTATTATATTATTAATTTTTAGAAGAGTGTGTGTGAGGGGAGGTGAAGGCGAGGCGGGGCCGGGTCCACCTTCCACAACACACCGCCACCATGAAGGCCTCAGGTCTGGTACGTTCCCTAATATTTACACTTGTTATTACTCTAGTGAAGAAATTTGTCTGGTTTTTAGCGGCCTATCAGCACATTAACTTTACATACATTGATATCGCGTGTTAAATTTGTTCTTATAGAAGAGGAAATATTAAAATAAGGGGCATAATGTGTAAGGGTATGATGTTGAATGAGAGGCGTGGGGATGGTTAATATTGGGCAGGAGTACAGGCGGTGTGTGTGTGCGGGGCACCTCGCTTCACACAGCCAAGACCATCTTGATATATTGTGTGAAGTATTTCCATGATGAGAGTGCGAGTGATGGAAGTGATGCTTGTGATATTGTGCGCTGAACACTCACCACAACTCTCTCACCCGCCTCGCAGATGGGCTCAGGCGGGCCCACCTTACCACCAGTTGCAGTGTTCATCATACATGCTTCTCGCCCTTATAAATCCTGTACAAAAATTGACATTTGCTGACATTTTGTGCACTACACATTGTGCTTCAAAAGTTCGTTAAACATTCTTGGACAGGTTGTTAGGTTTTAAAATGTTTTTAATTAAGTTATTGTGCTTGGCCCAAGGAACTTTATAGAACTTTACCTGGTATTGGAAAGCTTTCTTATAGACAGATTAAAGTTTAAAGTTGCACTTGCTAGAGCTGCAGGACTAGAGTGCAAATATTAAGGTTTTAGATTAGGTTGGGGGCTTTAGTTGGAATCTGGCACATAAGAACAAAGGCAACTGCAGAAGGCTTATTGGCCCATACGAGGCCGCTCCTATTTATAACCACCCAATCCCACTCATATACTTGTATATGAGTGGATATACTCATATACAAGTACATATATACTCAATGAATATAGGCTAACATGAAACTCAAGAAAACTGTAGATGGTCTATTGGCTGATATGTGGCAGCTCTTATTCATGTCCACCCAAACTTATTCATATACAGTATGTTTCGCAAGGAGCCGAGCAGACAGCACGCTGGACTTCTGATCCTGTGGTCCTAGGTTCGATCCCAGGTGCCGGCGAGAAACAATGGGCAGAGTTTCTTTCACCCTGATGCCCCTGTTACCTAGCAATAAAAAGGTACCTGGGTGTTAGTCAGCTGTCACGGGCTGCTTCCTGGGGGTGGAGGCCTGGTCGAGGACCGGGCCGCGGGGACACTAAAAGCCCCGAAAACATCTCGAGAAGCCTATGCTTGAAACAGTTAAGAGGTCCTATATCCCCTACCTGGTAATAGATATTAAAAAGTAATATGTTACCTAGTAATAGATGCCACAAATCGACAACCCAAACCAGTATATACCCAGGTCTTTCCTAAATCTAAAATTATCCAATTTATATCAATTTTTACGAGTTCTTTTATGTGTGTGTGTATATTCCCTTTATGCCCAGTCATCTGCTTGTGCACTGTCAATCATGTCACTTCACTTTTCTAGATAATATAAATTAAGCTTTTTGAATCTCATTGTATTTCTAATTTTCTAATGTATTTCTAATGTATTATATTTCTAATATAATACATATATATACATATACATTATATTTCTAATGTATTTTATTTCTAATGTATTTCTCATAGGTTTCTAATTTGAGGGATTAGGGAGGGAGTTAATTTTTTCGATCTATAGTATGGCGTCCAAAACTGAACCCCATAATCTACATGGGGGGCCTAATAAGACCAAGATATAGATGAATGATAACACCAGTTCTCATTTCTAGTGCTTAGGATGTTTAATGGCTTGGCACTTTCTCCTGATAATTAAAGATTAATCTTGGTGTTTAGCTAGAAATCAAATATCTGGTGTTATTCTTTAGCATTAACAATAAACACTGCCTTGTATATACAATATTTTTTTGGCTTTAAATTCTTACTAATCATAATTCAAGATCACTTGCTATATCAACACCATCCTGCTCCTAGTGTAATTACATTTGAAGCTAGGGTTCCATTACCAAGTCTCAAAAGCTTAAGTTTGTCAGCATTAAACTGTATCTGCCAATCTTTTGTCCTTTTCAAATCCTTATTAAGTCTTAAAGTGATTGCGAGTCATCTTCCATGTTTATTTCCCTCCTGATTTTCATATTGTCTGCAAATATAGCTACTCAAACCTGAATCTAAATCATATACAATATATATTATCAATTGGAGAGGTTCCAGGAAAGCCTTGAAGCACGCCCTACAAGGTTCCCACTGACACCTCCATTTATACTAACACGTTTTCCTTTGGTATAATAATGCCCTAATCCAGCTTAATATAGCACCCCTAATACTGTGAGTACATCTTTTTGATCAATCTTTTCATGTGGCACTATCAAAAGCTTTGCTGAAGTCGAGGTACACAATATCGCAAACCTCTCCTTATCAATTGCCTTAATTAATCCAACTGCGTCCGGAATAGTATGATAACAAATTTGTCAAACATGACTCGCCCTTGAGTAAAACCATGTTACTCAGTGACTTAATCTATGTATTTCAAGATGAGGTGAATGGCTTTTGTAATTATATTCAAGCAATTTTCCCATAATAGACATTAAGGGGCCAATTGATAGTTTTTTAAAAGTTGCTCAATGTCAACCAGTATTTTCAACTGCAGCCTAAATAGAAAGGGCTATTTTTAATTTTTTTAACAAATTTTACACATTTTTAAGTGTATTTGCAACCACACCTTTCAGATATAGTCATTCTATGACAATTTTCTGTCACATTAGCATATAATAAAGGTTCTGTTGCCAGTTATTTTCCAAAACATCTTTAGTTTTCCTAATACAAATAGCCAAAGTGCTCCCCAAAAATTATGCAAATATGTCATGTTTATTGCTATAATAAAATCAATAAATGAACTTAGGAAACAAAGCTGGCATCAGATTTTAGAGACATACACTACATATAAGGTGTAAATTGAATAAAAATGAAAGATAAATTTGATCGTTTACTTGAAAATAATAAGTAAAAAAAATAGTCTAAGGTGTTGCCATCTGTGGCTGAGGTTGACATCAACCAATTTCCTGGGCCCCTTGGCACCCTTACAGATAGGCTTAAGTGTCATCAGGTGTACAAGTTTCATGCAAATTGTCCGCTAAACAAATAAGAAAAGTAAAATTGAAAAAAATTAACTTGTTAAATGTTTTTAATAACTAATTATTTATTTTTTAATATATGCTATTGTGATAGCTGGGAGTCGGACATGATTTCAGTTGACACTTGTGTTTGATAATCATTTTTGACCATTTTGGAAAAATTTTGATACCTACTTCAATATTTTTTTCCTCCCTTCCTATTTATGCTATGATGCTGAAATCTATTGGCCCCTTAAACTAATTAGCCGATAGATCGCTTGCATCAAACTTTTTTTTTAATTAGTGCTACATTAGCAACCCTTCACTACTTTGGCATTCTGCTTGACTAATGATTTATTAGATATGTTAAACAGTGGCTCACAGAACTCCTCTTTGCATTGTTTAAGCACCCTGGCAAACACTTCGTCAAGCCCCGAGGAGGAGTTTGGCTTGTGTTTTTTCTATTTCTATTAATATTTCTAACCAATTGGACAAATTCTGTTCTAGACTGACTTCCCCACTTCTAATCCTTTTGTTCCAAGCTTTCTTTTTACCTGTAAATGCTTCAAACCTCCAAAGGGATATAAGAAAGTTATGAACGGGTGTAATTTGCTGTCAACTAGCAATGGAACAGTTTTAAGACAAGATTCAATCAGTATATGGGTGAGAAGTGCTGGAATTGACCTGCCTTGAATGTAACAGTGCTGTTAAAGGGTTAATGATTAAAGTTGTTTTCCTGCTATCAACAAATACAAAAACATTGTCTTGTGTAGATGTACTACTTCATCCAAACTAACCAAATTGACTGGCAGTTTTCATGTGTAATGCATTGGTAAGTTAGTGGAAACATTACAACCAGAGATGTCGGATAGATCTTTGAGACAATCTTGGGCCTATCTTGAGGTGATCTTGAGAGCATTTTGGGGCTTTTTAGTGCCCCCTCCTCAACCAGGCCTCCACTCCCAGGAAGCAGCCCGTGACAGCTGACTAACACTCGGGTACCTATTTTACTGCTAGGTAACAGGGGCATAGGGTGAAAGAAACTCTGCCCATTGTTTCTCGCCGGCGCCCGGGATCGAACCCGGGACCACAGGATCACAAGTTCAGTGTGCTGTCCGCTCGACCGACTGGCTCCACTGGCCTGGATAAGAATCCTATGGATTTTCTCACTGATACATCACGTTAGTGTGATTACTGTGTATTGGGCCTGGAGAAGGTCTCGGGAGTTGTTCTACTTCCTAAGCCCGACTCATTGCTGTTCTGCCAGTTTTCATGCGTGTTAATATTATCGAGAGTAAAGTCTGAGGGGGGGGGTGTTGAGTGGCACAGAAGATGTAGAAGTGGATAAAAGGGAATGTTAATAATAAATATATCAACACAAACAATTGGATAAGCCTTAATTTGAGAAAGATGTGTACATACTAGTTTGGAAATGCTGTTTTGTGGAATAGATTGCCAGGTAACATGATACATGTGGCATTACTTTATTCTTTAATGTGTATGTTAGATATATATAAATGTTTGATTGTTTTTAAGTTGAAACTGCTCTGTCTGGGCCAATAAGCCTTCTGCATTTTCCCCGATTCTTTTGGTTAGATTAGTGGGCAAAGAAATGGCAACAAAGCCAAGAAGTGTAAAGTAATGAAGATCCACACCAGGCCAAATATTTGAAAGTGAATGTGATTATAGAACACCACTAAAAGTTCAATTCTTATGCCAGCATGGAATAGAGCTATTTCCTAAGTTACGGGGTTTAAGTTCCACTGAAGAATTAAATGGGACGAGAGGGCACAGATAGAAGTTGGGAACACGAATGCATTGCATGAATAAATGAAAGAAAATATCAGAATGGTGTAGGTATAGGTGGTTAATAAATGTAATGTAATTAACATTGAAAGTAGTTATGGAGGCACAGAATTCAGTCAAGAGAACAAAGAGGCATTTCATAATAGTTAGGTAGACTCAAGCAAGATTTCATTCCTGTAAAACAAAATGTGGGTAAGCACTCCCACCCTTTATCGTAACTTGCATCATCATTTTTACTGTCCATGCCACTCGCTTGTAATTATCACATTCATTTGTTAAACTATGATGAAAATGTGTGCAATTTCTCCATTTCCAATCTATTAATAATTAATATATTTCAGCTAAAAGAGTACAGCGTCATTGGACGCAAGCTGCCATCGGAGAATGACCCTGCTCCCCAGCTCTACAAGATGCGCATCTTTGCTCCAGACAGAGTAACAGCAAAGTCCAGATTCTGGTATTTCTTGTCTAAGCTTAAGAAGATGAAGAAGGCAAGCGGTGAAATCGTTTCCATAAATCTGGTAAGTTTATCTGTTTATTTTAATGGTGTTCATGCAAATGTTGTCCCTTCTAGACTGATCATAAAATGCCTTTTTAAGGAATTTTCAGTGGCCAGAAAGATGCATTGAAACTTTTTCTATTATTGTCTGGCAAATTCATTGGGATCATTGTTTATATGCCAGAGGGTGTTATTTGCAAATACCAGATATTAGCATGTAATATTAACTTTTTCTAATTATATATTAAAACAAACATTTTCCCTTACTGTCAACATTGTATTTATAGGACAACACCCCCTACCTCTAGTATGTCAGCATATTTTTGCAATAAGAAAACACTAGTGTGGAAGCTATATACTCTTTTAAACATTAAAAGAGGAATAAAGTCGAGCATGGCTGCTGGTTCTTGTGTAATTACCTAAGTGTAGTTACACAATGAGAGCTATGCTCATGGTGTCCCGTCTTCCCAGCACTCTGTCATATAATGCTTTGAAACTACCGACGGTTTTGGCCTCCACCACTGTTTGCAAAAGAAAATTTTTACATGTTTTTGCGGCATCTTTGTTTCCTTGACTTAGTCTGTGTCCTCTTGTTCTTGAAGTTCCAGGTCTCAGGAATTCTTCCCTGTCGATTTTATTGAATCCTGTTACTATTTTGTACATGGTCATATCACCTCTTTCTTCTGTCTTATAATTTTGGCATATTTAACGCCTCTAACCTCTCCTCGTAGCTCTTGTCCTTCAGTTTTGGGAGCCACTTAGTAGCATGTCATTGCACCTTTTCCAGTTTGTTGATGTGCTTCTTAAGATATATGGGCATCGTACAAGCGCTGCATATTCCAGCTTTGGTCTGACAAAAGTCGTGATCAATTTCTTAACACTTTGGCATACCCCGCGCGCCACCCCTCAACTGTGCGATTTGGGTCCCAGCGTTTCACGTGAGCGCGCATTAATTCTGAACAAGTGTATACTCTCCAACTTTGTCACCTCAATTCTCGTCCTACGAGACTAAATTTGGTATTATTGTGTTCGCAATAGAATTCTCTACGGCACTAAATGCATATAAACTCCAAAAGCCCGGCTAATTACCCACAGCAAACGGAGAAAGTGCGAACGAGTTACCCAGGAGAGCGCAAAAGCGATAAAATGTGTTCACTCTGGTCACCTCAATTTTCGTCCTAAGTCTTTCATTTTGGTATCAATGGGTTCGCAATAGAATTATCTAGAGGAATATTAGCATATAAAATAAAAAACCTGAGTCACGCTCCACCCACCGACGAGTTGAAGACAGGCCACGCGTTAACCGCGAGTGAGCGCCCAGACGCCTTCTAGCTACACTCCTGTGGGGAAAACTCCAGGCAGCTGTTCTTTTTTTTTTATTGATTTTAATAAGATATAGTTTCTTATTTTCTAAGTAAGAATTAATTGAGTGGACTGTTTGTACTTGATTAAACTGCCTGAAATTATCTCACACAGTTGGTGGGACAATTTGTAGCTTACACCACTTTGAGTTGGCTCATTCTTAAACCACAAATTGTTTATCTTATTAATATAATTATATCATACCACATATGGTGGTCTTATCTACTAGTAATAATTACTAATTATGAATACTAATACTACTATAACTAACAGGGGCTTAGCTGATCCTGTTAAGGGGCCTGCTAAGGCTGTGTAATTGTAGCATCAATATGGGTGTGGCCCTGTGCCTCTTTGTGCCATGTAATGGCGGCTGTGGAGACTACAAGCCCTGGCATACAGCTAGGTACATTATGTGAGGCTCAACTGTCTGCTCAGCTTCTTGCTATTCCAAATCACAATTTACCTGTATGGGATACAAGGAGTTAATAAAAGTTTCCTAAATATATAATTACAGGTATGACATGAAATATGAGGGTGTTAAATGGGGTACACGTACTTTTGTGGGTACCGACTACCTCATAAATGAAAGAAATGTGTACACAAATCAATCAAATATATAGTATACTTGGTAAGCCGGATACAAGATTGCTCTAGTCATAGCAGTGGTGTTGTCGTGGTAGTTTGCTTGGGGCAGAGTAAATCTATCCAAGGCGACTAGTATCACAACACTTCTGGAGCACCCACTTTGTTGTTGTTGTTGAGGAGAGTGACCGCCTCCCTCAACGTTCCAATATTTTGTTTTGGTTCCACTTCTGAACTTAAATTTACATTAACAAGGGAGTCAAGCTACATTTTGGTGTTAGTAATTATAGTCTTATTGAGTACTTTTTTGTTAAGTTTAGATACAAAACTGTTGTATAAACGTTATTATATTTTGTAAATATACGACGTCGTCTCTGACGTCACAAGATCACCCATTTTCTATTCTTAAGGGAATACTGAAAGGGGATACTATGTTATGTGTGTGTCGGATTCCGACAACTCCCAATTCCTGCCCACAAATGTTTAGTATATTTAGTATTATAGTTTAGTATTTTTGTGTGTAGTAGTTGTACATCACATAAGCATTGTAGATAGCCATTTGCACAAAATAGGTAATTTTCTTCGTCCATTTGTGAGTTTTCCTTATGGAGTGATAATATTTGATTATTTGGTCAAAGCGATCAACACCTTTCATGTTTGTATTATAGTCAGATTGCATTCGGCTTGTTGACAGTTACCAAACAGTCCCCAAAAAATCGGATAAAAGCATGATTTTTGGCAATTATTTTAGTGGACGACGCAGCATTGTGTCATCCCCGAGATTACCGACAGTAAACGGATGACGCAATGCTGCGTCATGCCCGGACTAAAGTGTTAAGTATTTCTCCATCCATGTACAGTAAATAAAAGCAATTCTGAAGTTAGAAAGTGTAGCATAGGCTCCCTGCACGACGTTCTTTATGTGGTCCTCGGGTGATAGTTTTCTATCTAGAACCACCCCTAGATCTTTTTTTTTTTTTTTTTTTTTTTAAACTCCCTACTACCAACAATTGGGAATTATCTTTGCTCTTACCATAATCTTTTGACCATTTTGAGGCCCTCTCGTTTGTCATCCAGTTCTTTTGTCCATGTGTTGCTGGCTGGTGTGCTGTAGGCATTTACAATTATCAGCTTATCCTAATTTCAGACCTGCAATGTCATTGTCAACATCTCGAGGGTTTTAAATTAAAAACACTCTTACCTTCAGGTGTTCTTTCACCGGCACAGCCACTCCTTCCCCCTCTCCTAGTTTTTCTGTCCTGTCTCCAAAGTGAGTAGCCCCTTGGGAATATGACCTCATTTAAAATATTTTCAAGCTTCATCTCCGTTAATGTTACAATATATGGGACCTTGGAATTATAGTTTTTTATTTATAGTATATAGTTTTTATATACCTTAGTTTTTTATCTCACTCCATCTATGTTGACTTTTGAGTTGTCAATGAAGTTTCCAGTTGTAGAACCTTGCCTAACTGTTAGCCTTCAGGGTTCCTTGGAGTTGTTCACCATATGAGTCTGTTTTCTTGTTTATTTCTTATGTATTTAAATTTACTACTCTTCACTTTCCACACCTCATTATATTTCACTAGTTCCTTGATGTGTGCCTCTTGCATCCTTACCTTATCAATTAAGTTGGTGATTTCCTTACCTTGCTGGAAAATACTTCCTTTTAAGTTCCAAAACTCAATCTTGAGACCTTTTCTTTTTCTAATTTAATTACCTTTTCTTCAAAATTCTTTAGCATGTCCTCAATCGACCTGCCAAGAAAACCCCCTTTCATTATATCTTATACTGAGAATCAGTATAAGATATAATGAATAAGAATCAGTATAGCACCAGATGTTGCGCACTTTGTTCATATTTTCCTATAGAGCCACTCCTGATTAGGCAGTACTCCAGTGGCTCATATAGACCTTTACTAATCCATAAATCTTGAAAATTGGCACCTAGAATACTGGGATTTATTTCTAGAAGCATTTACAATAAAACTGTGTATACCTCCCGATCCCATGGAAACATAGGTACAGTAGTCGTTACTACCAGTCAATTTTTTTTTTCTCTCTCTCTCTCTCTCTCTCTCTCTCTCTCTCTCTCTCTCTCTCTCTCTCTCTCTCTCTCCTCTCTCCCCGCGAGATAGTGTGTTTACCGATTACCTGTCTTTGAAGGTTGTTGAACGCAAGCCTCAAGTTGTGAAAAATATTGGCATCTGGCTGCGTTATGACTCCCGCTCTGGAACTCACAACATGTACCGTGAATACCGTGATTTGACAGTGTCTGGAGCAGTAACCCAGTGCTACCGAGACATGGGTGCTCGTCATCGTGCCCGCGCTCATTCAATTCAGGTAAAGTAATGGATGCTCTGTACTGTATTGTTGGCTACAGATTATTTTTGTCGGTTATATGTATAACTTGCATGTTCTAGGGCTTCTAATTAGTGGTTTTTATAATGGCCAGTTGCAACTTGGAATTCCTACGAGTTGGATTTTCATCCATTTTGTTTAATTTGTTCATCATTTTGCATAATTTTGGGGCTTTACAACTGGTTCTCACTAATCAATATGGTTACTAACTTGGCACCATAAAACTGATACTGTTACAGTATCTGCATCAAAGTACAGTATGACAAACTTTTTAAATTCAAGAATTTAACTAATTTGTGAAGTATTAGGCTTTTAACTTGTTCATTTTTACCTTAAGAGTTAAATGTCTAAGAAATTATCTAGTGTTGATGGTTTTCCACACTTTTTCTTGTGCACATTTCTAACATGTATGTGAATAATAATCAGCATAAAAATGTCATTATACAAAGTTTTATTTTTTCATTATTATATTTATCTCTTAACATTTGTCTTGCTTTGAAGCCAATTAGAAATCTCATGACAAGTTTAGTTTGATAGAAGTTGTGGTGTCAACCCTCTTGTGTAGCATTTAATTGAACTACATTATTATATATAATTATCTGTAAATTTTCACAAATTTAATTGAGAATTAGGAGTTTTGGATTTTATATATCACCAAGATCTCGTTCTTGGTGATATGATATTGTGAAGTAAAATTAATTTCTAGTTTTTCTTTCCTTACAGATCATGCGTGTGGAGACTGTTTCTGTTGGCAAGTGCCGCCGACCACTGACAACACAGTTCCACAATTCTAACATCTCATTCCCATATCTGTCGCATACTAAGAAGAAGAACATGAAGATGGACCGCATTACTTATGGCAGACCAACCCCCATGACTTTTTAAATGAGGTCCAAATAAATGGTTCATGGAAAAATTTGTTTAGTTTCCCTATTGTATCACATGAAAGCTGCAAATAGCATATTTGATGAGGATTACCCATGTTGAAAGCATGTGCTAGTACTGTACTTAGCTATTGTAACTATAACTACTTGTCTGTTATCCCTCTGAGACACCATTGTGTGTTGGAAGGGGGGTTATTAGTGTTGTTTTAAGCTCCGTAAAGTGCGAGAGAGGTTAGTCTAACCCTGAGGCCACGCTCGACCTGTATTATGGTATTTATAAAAATGTCTGGTAGTGAGGTTAAAAAGATATTTGACCAGTATTTCCTAAAGTCATTGGTTACATGGCTGCTAGTTATAATAAATTTTTATGGTGTTACATAGACTTACACCTACAAAAGTAGGTGTTGCTATATTTTGTATATAGGTTATATTTCCACATTCTTTGAAACTTGTCCCCAAACTTCCCTTACCACTTTGTGGAGGGGGGGGGTATAGGGTGTTAATGTGGCTTCAGGGCACCAATCCCCCCAGCCAGTGGGCATGGCGAGAAGGCACCCCTAAGCATACCTGATACTCTGTCAAACACAAATGGCAGATCTCATCACAACCCAAAAGTTAAGATAATATATAACAACACAAAATGGAAAATTCTTCTATTCGTTTTTCTTATATGGGACACGGAGAGGTGCACAGTATATAATTTAAAAGAACTAAAGCTGAAGGCAAAACAAGCTGCTTAAATTAAATAAGGGGCCGTTACTGTGGAATACTAAAGTTGTTCAATGTCAACCATTATTTTTTTGCTTGTATATGAAAAGTGCTGCAATTGTTCTAAGTTTCAGTACTGTAGCCTAAATAGTAAGGGATATTTTTATTTTTTTTCAATGAATTTTACACATTTTCAAGTGTGTATTGACAACCACACCTTTTAGATATAATCATTCTGACAGCATATAATAAAGGATCAATAGGAGGGGATTTTCCAAGACGGCTTTAGTTTTCCTAATACAAATAGTTCCCCCAAAAAATTATGCAAATATATCATGTTTATTGCTATTGTAAAATCAATAAATGAACTCTGGAAAAAACGCATTCTTACGATTTTAGACAAACTTTACCTATAAGGTGTAAGTTTAATAAAAAATGAGATATATATATATATATATATGTTCAAGTAAGTAAAAAATAGTCTAAGATGTTGCCCTCTGTGGCTGAGGTAGACATCAACCCATTTCCTCCAAAATTGGCACCCTTACAGATAGGCATACGTGCAGTCAGGTGTATAAGTTTCATGCAAATCATCCTATAAACAAGAGAAAATAAAAAATGTCTTTTTTTTTAATATAACTAAATATTTGTTTTAATATAAGCTATTGTGATAGCTGAGTCATAGACATTGAAATTGAAATAAGTTTATTGATGTAAAATACATACAAAGGGATGAGGTAGCTCAAGCTATTCTCACCCCGTCATCAAGCTATTCTCATCGTGTTGATACATACATAGACACATCACAAACAATAAACATTACCAAACATTCTGAGAGATAAACATATACATTTCCTCCTTCACAAGTAGTATGGTATCAGACGTACACAAATACTTTTTTGACCTAGGTATACTGTATAGACAATTTGCAAGAGGCATGCAGATAATTCAACAAAAAATTAGTCTTGGTGCAAAATTCTTATATCTCAAGAATATTATCAACCTTTCCGTTGTGACACATCCAGGCTATTTGTTCAGGAACAGTCCTTATCTCAAGTGTTTCTATATACATTAATCAAGGGACAATCTTAGAACATAATGGGCAAGGGTGTGAGACCTTAACATACCACATAGTTTACACTTGGTGTCATTATCATGAACACCTATCCCATATTCCCAGTAATATTTGTACTCAAGCCTAAGCCGCATGTACAGAGTCACTCCAAGCATTTCTCCTTTTACCATAAGTGAAATGGGTGTTTTGACTCGCATACATGTAGTGTTGCATGGTTTGACTTCTCTCATACATTATATCTCTCCTCTCCACTTCTGCCTGTGCCTGAATATTTCTGATTTTGCTTCTTATTTGTCTCATTGTGAATTCACATTCAATGTCAACTTGTGGTTTTGATGTGGCACGTTTGGCCAAGTTATCCGCCACCTCGTTGAGCACTATTCCAACATGAGATGGAATCCACATGAATTTCACACTATGGCCTTTCAGCTGTATCTCAGTTAATCTTTTCTTACAGTCCTCAACTATGGACATGAAGACTGGGTTTCGACTGTTTAAGGAATCAAGTGCTCCTCGGCTATCGACAAATACAAAAACATTTTTGTCGTCATGACGTACTTCCTCCAAACACGCCAGAATGGCCTGCAGTTCAGCTTGTGTGGATGATATATAATTACTAAGTCTGAGTTCAATTATCCTGTCCACAGTCCCAAACTCCGTATATTCTCTTATTAGAACACCACACCCGGCCCTGCCATCCTCCGCCACCGACCCGTCATAATATACATGTAAACTGTTGCCTCTTGGTAGCCGAGATATCATGCTTCCATACAAACACCGTAATTGTCCCGGTTCATGATGAATCTTTTTCACCTTAAGGGGTACAATTTCGACGTCTATTTTCTGTACTTTCCAGGGAGCAGACATATTACACTGTCGAGAGGGTTTACAGCAGTCAAGTACGTCGTATCAGGCGGGAGTGGAGAGGAGAGAGATAATGTATGAGAGTAGTCAAACCATGCAACACTACATGTATGTGAGTCAAAACACCTATTTCACTTATGGTAAAAGGAGAAATGCTTGGAGTGACTCTGTGTACATGCGGCTCAGGCTTGGGTACAAATATTACTGGGAATATGGGATAGGTGTTCATGATAATGACACCAAGTGTAAACTATGTGGTATGTTAAGGTCTCACACCCTTGCCCATTATGTTCTTGATTGTCCGTTGATTAATGTATATAGAAACACTGAGATAAGGACTGTTCCTGAACAAATAGCCTGGATGTGTCACAACTGAAAGGTGGATGATATTCTTGAGAGATATAAGAATTTTGCACCAAGATTGTAATATTTTGTTGAATTATCTGCATGTCTCTTGCAAATTGTCTATACAGTATACCTAGGTCATAAAAGTATTTGTGTGTACGTCTGATAACATACTACTTGTGAAGGAGGAAATGTATATGTTTACCTCTCAGAATGTTTGGCAATATGTTTATTTGTGATGTGTGTCTATGTATATATTAACACGTTGTACTGAATGGGGTGAGAATAGCTTGAGCTACCTCATCCCTTTGTGTGTATTTTACCTCAATAAACTTATTTCAATTTCAATTTCAGTACGTCGTATTCCCTGAGGTCATGAGCTAATCCCCTCGTGTAGCGTGTCTCCCTCAGTTTCCTGGAAGTGTGTACGTCACTCAAGCAGGTCTGAACGCTCTCAAACAGCTTATCCCCTCATTTTCTCCGCATGAAACGAATAGATACTCTAGTGTTAATGTCACGGACTCTATCACACACACAATGTAAATTCAATTCCATTCTCATTATTTCAATCATTGCATTTCTTTGACATCCAAGAATAATCCTCATAGCCTCGTTCTATATCAGCTCTATTTTTTTAATTCTGCCTTGGCCTGTGTAAGACAATACGGGTGCTGCGTAGTCTATCAGGGACCGAACAGTACTTATGTATAACATCCGCAAGATAGGTACCCCTACACCTTTACCAGAAAAAGCCAGTGCTTTTAGAGGATGCAGACGGTCTTTACATAAGATGCTGATATGATTTATTTCAGCATTTTTACTCTCACATGTGTATCCAACATACATGCCCAGATACTTGTACTTCTGAGGACGGCTCAGTTCCACACCATTTAGAGTAAGTGTTATATTTCTTCGTTTCCTATACTCATATTTGGTTTTGTCTGCATTTATAACTAAGCCTAACGTGACAGGTTGTACCAAGTATGTTAAGAGCAGTTTGAATTTTGTTCCCAGAAGTGCCTTGTATAAGAATGTCATCAGCATATATGATTGTCGTGATCCCTGGAGGATACATCTCTGATGCTAATCTGTTCATTAATAAATTGAATAAGGTGGGACTTAAAACTCCCCCTTGGGGGGTACCTAACTGAAACATCCGTTCCTCAGACATGTATCCCTGGAAATACACCTGACCTTATCTGCCTTGTAGATAATCCCTTATCCAGTGTAGCAATCTCCCTGTTATTCCCAGATTGGCTAATTCGTATAAGATTACTTCCCCATTGGCTTTATCAAATGCTCCTTGTAAATCGACAAAGACTCTACAATTGTCATCCACATTAGACAAACACTTTAAGAGACAATCCGCAGTACTTTTGCCATTGATAAAACCAAAGAGATTACTGGACATGTTATCACCTACAAGGTAGAGTAGCCTATTTAACAAAATCCTTTCCATCATTTTACAAAAGCAGGATATTAAGGAGCCTCCGTTTGACTTAGGGATAGGAATGATGACAGCCTCTTTCCATTTTCTTGGTAACTTTTCCTCTCTATAACTCATATTAAACAAATCAAGTAAGGGACTAGGTTTCATACCGGCTAAATAATTAAGAATGTCATACGTTACTCCATCTTTCCCCGGAGCAGTAGAGCTGCCACTTTTTATAGCATCCAGTAGCTCATCGTGAGTTATCTCAGTGCATGTTACAGATCTTGTATTTAAGGCACATAAAGTTACTCCATGTCTAATATTTTCCCATGACTCAATGGTGACTCGTGTCTGCAGGTAAGGACTCTATACCAGCAGCACTTGCCTGCTAACAATCTACTAACTCATTAGCAACCTTCCCTGGATCTGAGTGAGCAATGAATTTTCTTACAACCCCTGATTTTATTTACTGCTCTCCATATGTCTTTAAGGTTTTTAGTATTACCAATGAACTGAGCAAAGTCTTGCCAATTGTCAATGCCAACAAGAGCGCCTCCCATGCCCTTGCCCCACCCATAGCACTACTGTTCAACAAACCTATAGAGTGT